CTCTATTTGTGTTGGTATCATTGGGGCCCTGATTCACACCTTTTGCTCACAGAGGGCTGAGTCATACTTGCAATAACAGTTTTGTAGGAGGAGGACAACTGGACACGAAGGCCTCCACCTCTGTTTAATGGTGGACGTTTTTTTTTCTTCACGCTTCAAGCTTTTTGCAAGTATGACTCAGCCCCATGTGAGCAAAAGGTGTGAATCAGGGCACCAACAATACCCAACAGTGAAAGAGAGACAAAAACAAGGGCACCTTGAACCCCGCTTGCACTCACACACATAACAAAACACCAAATAACCACAGCCGAAGCATCCAAACCAATAAGTCAGGTGATGGGYCAGATGACCCTCTATGAACAATAGAGCTAACCAAGCTTAGTGTTAGGCGATGGCCCTCTTTTGCATGTGACTAACCTGTTCGTCCACCATGTGGAGGCAGTGCTTAAAAGGCTGAGTTCACCTGAAACTCATCAGACTGAAGAAGTCTCTTGGAGGAGAGACAAAACATTTCACTAAAGAACCCGTCCAGGGGACCTACTTAGTTTTTTTCTTTTTGATTTACTCTATATGGGTTGGTTTTATTTTTCATGGGGGCAAAAAGATAGTAAGACCTTTGAATGTACAGCCAGATAAGGCTATACATTTAAAGGCTGTGACATAGCTGTAGAAAAGAGGAGCACCCAAGGTCAATGAGTGAAACAGAGCTGTAAATGAAAGGAGAGAAAGGAGGGATGAATGACTCATAAGACGAAACAAGAGCTGCGAGTTCACACGCTACCTGCTCTGTGTTAACGGACTGTAAGCCACAGAGATGCATTACAAGTGCAGAAATCCTGTAGGTGGCAAGTGAAAAAAGATCTGTGATACACAAAAAAACTGAGATTGTTTGTGTTAACATTGTCTGCTGCACATTTCTGCAGCAATATAATGATTTTAAAGACATCACAAGTGGATGACTTCTCTTTCATGAAGCCATTTGCATTTGCTTACTTCAGTTCAAGTTGCAAAGGCAGCAGGTCAAAAAGAGAAGCACGAATATCCGTTTCCCCAGAAATCTTTCCCAGCTTATCCAGGGGGATCCTGAGGAGTTCCCACTCCACAGAGATCATATTATGTCCAAATAAGTTCAAAGTCTTCCCCATGGTCTTTTCTTATTTGTCTCAGCTCAGTCCTTTTCAGTAGCTCTACTCTAAGCTCTTCTCTGAGGACAAAGCCTCTCATATTATCTCTAAGGCTGAATCCAGCCACCGTATGAAGGAAACTTATATCACCTTCATTCAGGATCATGTTCATTCAGTTGTGATCCAAATTCTATGATCATATTGGAAAGCAGAGAGAGCAGTATGATGAGAGCTTCACTTTTGGCCTTGATTTCTTTGTTGTTATTATTATTATAGACATTAAATATAATATAATATTGTAAAATTAATAATAAAAACATTAAATAAAACATTTATTTAAGGGCCACTCAAATGGAGGCCTGTGGGCCACATTAGGCTGGTGGGTGACTCAAGTCCGTCTATAAAGAGTTTGAGCAACTTGAGCAGGGAACCCCAGACCTTTCTTTCCTCAGCCACCTCTTCTCTTCTGGGCGGATTCCAAGCTGTTCCCAGGCCAGCTGAGAGACAAAGTCTCTCCAGCGTGTCCTGGGTCTTCCTCGGGGTCTCCTCCCAGTTAGAAATACCTGAAGCACCTCCCTGGGGAGGCTTCCAGGAGGCATCCTTACCAGATGCCCAAACCACCTCAACTGGCTCTCGATGTGGAGGAGCAGTCTATCAAGTCCATGCTCCATTCTTCCCTCACTTGTAAACAAGACCCAAGTGAACCAGATTATTTTAGTGATTGACTCAAATYAATCTGGTTCCATAAAGTGAACTCTTTTTACCAGCTCTAAAAGATATTACAATTTGTCATGGGCAACTGAAGATTTTTTTTTGGTTCTACTTCTTTTTTTATGTATTTTCCCTCTTTTACCACAAAAATCATTAAACATTTTTTAAAGATGGCAGGATTGGCTTCTGAATACCAAATATAAAGTTATTTTAGGGAGAAGTAATGTATAATAGTGTCAGAATAAAGTTTTCCAGACAAACAAACAGAAGAAACAAATCAGCGACTTTGCAGACAGTGTCAAAAGGTTCACAAAGCATGTGTGAGAGTTTGTGTGATGAAGAAGCTGAAACTTCACAGTGGAAGATTCCAGTCAAGCACTTAAAGATGCATGAGAGTGCTTCATCATTAACGAGATGATGGAAAGTTCCACAAGCAAGCGAAGGATCGAAAGAAGCAAAGAAGATAGCAGAAGAGCAACGAAGGTACAAAAACCCAAGGTTAGACAGAAGGTTTGTCACACAAATGACCCTCCCCCTCCCATGGTTTGTTTTGAACCATTGAAATATTTGATCAATAAGTAAGAGGACGCCAAAAGAAGAAAAAGCAGATGAGCACCATCATCAGTAAAAATCAATTCTTAATGTTAAACTTAATACAGAGTTTGACCTCTTCACCTCCTGAAGCTCTGTGGTCCAYGACAAAATGCTAAAATGCATGGATAGGAAAAAACATGTTGAAAAATAAAACACCATTAATGAGGAATGTTTTACCCATGAAGGGGGAAAAAACAAGCAGGGATTCCATCATGATATCTGAACTCTGGTAGAACCTTGTTAGAATCATGTTGGTAAGGAGCTGCTGCTGACTGGTCCATGATGGGAAACACTTGTTCTCTTCCTGATTTCCTTTTAACTTGACTTATTGTTTTATATTTTATTATTGTCATTTTAACTAATACTTCTTTTTATGTGTAGCATTCAGACTTCATGTTTTAGTACTTTGTTCTTGTTTACAATAAAGCTTTTTTAAATAAAAATAAAAAAGACATCCAAATACTACTTTCCTTACTGAACAGCCAGGTGCAGTGCTTTTTAACTTTATTAAAAACAAAACAAGTTTTTGAAATACAGAGCACTTGGGAGCTGCAGCAGGAGGTATTTGTAATTCTGAGCTTCTCTAGAACGCAAATAGAGTTTGTACAATAATTTTCCTCAAAATCTGATAATTCAACATTTCCAGTCTGGCAACACTGGTTCGAGTCGAGGATTAAAGCATAACTACTGTGTTGAGTTTTGGAGGGACAGTATGATTGAAGGATTCCAGCATCTGCCCTGTTAGCTTTGTTATGCAGGAGATTTAATGGTTGCTTTTGTTGCAGACTGGAAACATCAGTCTGCTTTCCTTGGATTGTTCCTCCTCATGTATGCTGTTGTTGGGGGGAGCTGTTTGAAAATATGTCAGTCACAGCACCAACACCACACCCACACTCCTGGTCGCATGGAGGTGCATTTTTCCCCCAAACAGCTGAAAGAGACTAAAAGCTGAAGTGTAGCTGAGCTAAGACAAAGTAGCAGGAAAAAAGAAATGCTCAAATCAGGTCAAAGTTCATGATCAATAATCCTCACCTACACACATTTTGTCTACCAGCTTGAATTTTAAATGAGACTAAAAAAGACAAATGATTAAACCAGGCAAAAAAAAACACACTCTCTCTCTCTCTCTCTCTCTCTCTCTCTCTCTCTCTCTCTCTCTCTCTCTCTCTCTCTCTCTC